GCTCGTTGAGAAGCACCTATTATCCAAGGACCTAGAACTTCGAATGGACCACCATCGCTGGGAAATTGATGGAACAGAGCTAGCTGTCAGCAAGTCATCGCAAACCGCGAGAAACCTTCTTTCTTTATTCCCATGGTGAGTGATCGTAATTAGCGGTTGTCTTGGAGAATGGATTGGCGTGATGGTGTTAATAAGGTTTGAAGAGAAAACCGTGGAAGATGTGATCTTGAGATGATGTTAAAGTGCAGAGTGAAGTTAGAATTTTGAAAGAAAGTGAAACAAGTAGTGTAGTATGTTGAGTAGAAAAATTAAAAGGAATTGTTTTTTGCAATCACAGATTTGTCAAATTTGCAAATCTTTCGGAAATTTTGTTACGAAATTTCGACTACGTTTTCTGGTTGCAAATGGAATTTTTCTTTCAATTATACGTTTAAATACACTTGGTGTGCGATAACAATGGATGAGTATTATCGGTTCAAAACGTGGATAATGGATCTTCTTAAATTGTGTACTAAGTTGCCAAAGAGGTTAAGAGTCTCACGATTATTTTGTTGCAAATGGAATTTTCATTTTATTTATTTAGTTATTTAAATACACTCAGTGTGCAATGATAAATGCGCATTAACCGTTCAAAACGTGGATGATGGATCTTCTAAAATTGTCTAACGAGTTGTGAAAAAAGTTAAGAGTCTCGTGAAAAGTGTTAGATATCATACAAAGACAGTTGACACAATTTTATAGGCTGTATAGTGTAGGGTGAGTTTCAATAAAAAACAAAAACAGGGTCTAAAATCTCTAAATTATTTCTGGATAAATAAGGAGATTGGTGAAAACCGTATAAACAAATAAGACATCAAACATCACGCACCTAACTGGAATGATGGAAGTGCTAAATTTATATAATATGATATAAAGAAAATAAATATCTAGTAAGAAGAAAATCAAGTATAATGTAATATAACATATTGCAAAACTTTGAACTAATAAAAAGAAAATCAACGGTTCAAAATATATACATATATGTCAAAGAACGTAATGACTGTTTCAGCGTGACTAAAAAATAGATAAATATGTATAATACTTCCGCCGTATAAATCTCGCGGATGACTTAATGTTAATGAAACTGAGCTTAGTCATATCCGACGATTACATAAACATCGATAAAATAGATCAATTGTTTTAACCTTACACACATCCATAACACTTCCGAACCTAGCAATCACGATTCAATTATTCTTGAAGAACAATTATTTGCCATCGATCATTTGTTACAGCACAGACAACTGCATATGTAACAAGAAGCGACATGAAATCACATTACCTAACGTGCACAATTAACTAAACGACGACTTCTAAATCCAGCACGAATACCAAAGAGAATTGACAACAACAAGGTTGTCATTTTGTGTCGTTTGCAGACTCAACGCGATTCAGTTCGAAACACAACTTTAACCATGATTACAGAGATCGATCTCCTGGGCCCTCGACAATTGACGCGCGGTTTTGCAAAGGAAGAAATTACACGTTTGCAAAGGCGACGTGGGCAAATGAAAGTCGATATTTTATCGTCGAAGTTCGACCAACGTGACGAAATTGTAGAAGCCATTTTACCCACCTATATACATACATAGTTTCTGGAACGAGGACATAGGAGTATCTGTCGTTTGTGCATCGATAAACGTCCCGAATTTTCCAGCTGATTTTTCCGCGTATCTTTGATAAATTTGTCAAACTACTGAAATTTTTAACCCTCCTTAAATTAACCCCAGTAGTTTGAAAATTGAACAAATCTTCGTTTCATTTGGATCTGTCCTTATTGGAAAGCCGAAGAAACACCACTTTTGAAGTGTATTTTTCTTCAAATGATATATTTGTGGATGGATAATGGTCAAGGGTAAATTAACCCCGTACGGTTCAGGGCGTGATTTTTATCCATCTGGTTCGCGGAGGGTTGAAAATGGTAAATAGAAAAAGTGATATAAGAGAATCGAGTTTTAGCAACAGTCAATATTAAGGACGATGTATGTATAAGTCAGTGAAACCGATATTAATCGATGACTAATAAAAGTTCGGTCGTATCGATGGTGTATAGACGGTAGAACCGATATGTAGGTCGTTAGATTATTAGTCAGGCGTCAAAATACACTTAATCCAATCGCCAAAACATCAATTCGAGGAAGATAAAGAGCTCCTAGTCATGCTCAGGATCGTGCCAACTGTTTGTTCCATTGCAGTACGTTTAAAAAATTTGTCTACACCTTAATCGTTCACTGCTGCTAGTTAATATTCACCAATGAGGGAATTACTGTTGCACAGGAGGCGACGGTGGCTTAATACCGTATATCTTAAATGAAAGATTGTAAGTAGGAATGCAGAAATGTAGAATTGTAAGTAGAAATGTAGAAATGTAGAAATGAAAAACTGTAAGTAGAAATGTAAAGTAGTAAGTAGAAATGTAGAATTGCGAGTGGAAATGTAGAAGTGTAGAATTACAAGTGGAAGTGTAGAAGTGTAAGTGGAAGTGTAGACGTGCAGAATTGTAAGTAGAAATGCAGAAGTGTAAAAATGTAGAATTGACTTTGTAAGGAGGAAAGATCTGGGTTCGTGTCTCAAATAAAATTGTGTGACATTTTATTAATTCAAGCAAAAGTGAAGAAAAATTCTTACACTCGGGAGACTCGAGCGCAGATCTTCCCCTTGAAATTTTTGGTATCAATTCACAAATTACAGACGACGTTGGGCGCGGCTATAGTCTAAGGAAGAAATGTAGCGAGATCGTAAAATTAATCAAGCGTCAAAGTTTATACGTTCAAGTATATCGACAAGCAAATCGATAGAAATCTGAGAGGATAAGGACCTGAAAACTCTAAGGGCTGCATGAAGAATGCTTTAGCTTTGATTCAATCCTAATTGAAAAATGAAAAATGGCATATTCGATCTTGGATATTACTGTATCAATAGCTGACGCCACTTAATGCTTTAATTTACGACCACCCTGTATCGCTTCCATCAGCTATACCATTCTAATGACGAGAAGAGTGACACTGATGGCATAGGATATACGACGAAGAAGAAATATTGAATCTTTCGAATAATATAATAGCAATAATAATGACAAGATCAAATCTAGCGATGAAAATGTAGAATTAGGTATACAAATTAATTCGGTGCCTCTCTTTTCACAAAATCTTGGCGACATTCTCCACTGAGAACCGCCACATTTTTCAAAAAGGAAATTCGTCATATTACCCGATAAATGGAAAAAGTTATCGAAAATAAGGGAGACTATTTTGAATAATAAAATTTCGATTTTTTGTAAATAAATATTGACGTTTGTTTCAGAAAGCACTGAATTAATTAGAACACCCAATACATAATAGTGAAAGACAGAGTAATGAAGAACATAATGCAGTGACTAATATTCGGAATTTCGAAGTAGAAAATCGTTTGTGAAAAGAGAAATATACGAATATTTTCACAGCAGAATACGATCATATTACTTTTTTTTTTTTCATATATCATTGCGACAAAGAAAATATACGCGAGGTACGTCCACGGAAATAGCACTTACGTAGCGAGTCAATGTTCCTTCCGTCAGCGGAATTGCATTCTTCACGAACGCAAGACACGTATGAGTCAAATGAGCGGGCGACTTTGAATAACGATGATTCAGACCCACAAATTGTTCGATACACGGATTTCTGGGATTATGTGGGTCATTGCTTACTGATAAAAAGAATTCACGGCACTGTGCGCACGAATACCAAGAAGCCTGAAGCAACGCAGACCATAATTGGCAAATATGGCAATCAAGCTTCTTTTAAAGAAATGATACAAAGACTTGATTGACATTGCAGCATTGTAAAGGTAAAACATGTATACACGAAACCTATTCTATCTTTCCACGATTTTAATTGTCGATACTTTTTTCCAAGAATACCGTGTATTACCGCGTCATGTTCTTAAAAATTTATAATCGACAGTGTATCGAGACACATTTACGATTTTACCAAACATTTTACGTAAAATTCTATCGTATATCTTCGGTGCAATTTGAGACAAACAGCCTACCTTCACTGTATGAAATATTAGGTTATCCCATAAGTTCGTGTCGAAAGCAAAAAATACTTAAATAAGTTTTACAGCGACTATATGTAACACCTCTATTAAAAACGCGGGAAAAAATTATAGAACGAAAAAGCGCATGCGTAGATTCAGAAAATTAAACAATATGGGATAACCTCATATGTTAAAACAGATTCTCCTAAATTGTATACCTTGAACCGTGCCCTATGAGATAAACACACACCTAACACTCCGTTAAGATTTCACGGTCACAAACAAGAGACGTTGTTTATCATCGAAAATCTCGCGTGACCACTGAACGACAACAAAAAGTACCGAAGAAAGAAAAAGGAGGGGAAAAAAAAAAGAAACACTCACCATCCTCTACTAAATCTGTCCCTGTACACCGTGACAGCGAATCCGAACATGGAGTTGATGTCATTCCGGTAAACTGCATAATGTTTCGTCTCGATGTTGAACGCGTGTGACCACCAGGGTGGCGAGCCGACGATGAAAATTAAGCCTGCCAGGCCTACGAAGAAATTCGCGAACCACATGCTTGCACGCCTTGCCACTCCGTCGCACGTTCAATCGTTCTCATACACCGACGATAAAACACAACGAACTGTCATAAACGCACGTACCGACGATCCAGATCGATCTATAAAATCGACGAACAGCGGTAACAGTGTGGTGAGTTAGGGTGCCGGTGGTAGCGATCGAAGCGACACGGACGACATGTGGTTTCCACGAGGTCCTCAAGACACTGTATGTAACACTCTATGAACGACGAACGGAAACGAACGACGACGGGAGGGGGGAGGGCACAAGAGTCAGAGACGTCTACTTGACGGACGGCCGCGGACAGACTGAGTAGAAGTCCGTTCTTTCGGTTACTCTTCGCTCTCTTGACTCACGGGGGCTGCAACTCCCACCCACTGAATGCGATTCTCAAGTTGCGCTCCGCTCCGACGTGCTTGCGTGCCGCAACTGCGCCCGCTATGACGCGACCGGCCTCCACTCGCTGTTTTTTTCCCAGTCTTAACCGCCTTTTTTCCCTCCCGTTTCGCTGCACATCGTGCTTATCGACTGTCACTGTTTTCGCAAATGACGGAAAACTGAAGCTGTCGCGGTAATAAACTTGCGAATTTTGCTAACAGATCGGCGCTACGATCACGTATGGTATATATTGTACACCAGCTAAGTACGCTGTGAAGTGAGTTCTGTAATATAATATGTATAATTCGACGTTGCTACTGACGGGATTGCGTTAGAAGTTGAGCATAGAAGAAATAACGAAAAGTGGAATATACCGAAAGGTTTGATTTAAGTATTTTGTAATGGTTTGTGGGAGGAAGTGTCGTATTACAAGTCTGCGTACTTTTGGGTATATTGCGCGTTGGCAACGTTTGTGTTGAAGTTTGGAATCTTTGTTTTTTATTTGTAAGGAATATGCATAGAAACGAAATTAGTGTCATCTGGATGTTGAATGTAGCGTTTGAGGGATTATAATTTTTGCTTGTGTTAACGTTTAGTCAAGAGGTTTCATTTATATCGTAAGCTTGAGAAAGAAAAATAATTGAATTATTTGTATGTTGCAATTCTACTTACGGAAACAATTAAAGATTCTCGCGATTAATTTTATTGTAATCGTCGTTTGCTTTTGACTCTTTTGTTAATGATAAAAATGAAACAATCATTGTTTTACACAATATTTTGTATTTTTATGGCTATAAACCAGTCTGAATTTATTTTGAGTCAAGCTGATGCAAAAGAAATGTCAAAATTAAAGAAATAATTATATTAAAGTATAATAAAACTTTCTGTTGATAGATTGAAACCGTGAATGGCATAAAATATATCAAAATTATGGAGAAAGCATCGAACGCATTTAGTCGTTTAAAATATGTTATCATAAATTGAAAATTAAGTATAAAGTTCTTTGAATTCTTCTTTTTAGTATATCAAAAAATTGCACATACTGATGCTAACTACTTTCTCATGAAAAGTGCTGTATATATATATATGTACTTCCTATAAAAAATAGGAATAATACACGAAAAAAATTGCATATCAAAAGAAATATGTATCTCTTACAACAATAACAAACTTTACTGAAACGACGCTCGAAATTTTTGTCGCATAAAATTTAAATGAACAATGTGGGGTTAAAATACGATTAAATTCACTGTAGTAGGTACATGAAAATTTATTTCACGCGCTTTATCAAATGCAAATAATATATCACACATGCAGTATCATGATTAAATTGAAACGTGCAAATTTATAATTTTAAATATTATTTTCTTTATTTTTCTTAACTATGTCTTGTGAATCTAAATATTTCGACAAAACTGATCAAGGAATACATTTTTTTTTTAAATACCATAGAAATGAGGCACGTTGGAGAAACTATCAAACGTAATCATTATTCAAACGCGGCAAATTTGAACACACTTGTTCAAATACGATTAATTTGATATTTTATCGACATTATAAAATTTCGTATTACGTGTGAATGTGGTAGATGACTTTACGAATATTTATTTAGATTAGTAGAGAAATTATTGTTACTTTCCCTTTTTCTTTAGTCTACAATTTTAATAAAACCTTAATCCTTATATACATTTCTCTTTTGGTAGATAAAGAAGCACTAACTATCCGTAGTACGTTCTGCGTCTTCCGAGGACAACCTTTTGACATCCACACCACGATTTTCACGACGATTCTTCTCTTTTGCACGAAACGGATAAGTATTGGGTAGCCCTTACCTTCTGCTGTTTTCTTTAGACCCATACTTGCAGGCTGTAGGTCGGTAGGATACCGATCAACGATAATGTACCGGCTGCAACGTAGAAATCACAAACGAGGTATAGGATAGACCTAACATCTTATGGAACATTTGTCCGGGGGCCAAGAAGACCCTTACAATTTTCGTGTCGCTAACAACGTTACCGATTCAGTAACTGAATTTACAAATAAAAATGTAACGTAATTGTTTATTAGTCGATGATTCAACACTTGCGCGTGTTCTACTGTTGTCAAAAGATCGTCAACAGTTCTATCCAAGCAATCCAATATGTGTATGTATTTTTTATACATATGCAAATTTAATAAAAGAATTTTTGCCATCAAAGATGATAAAGTCGACAGATGTAAAAAATCATATTATAAGATAAATGTATAAAATGTATTTCATAGAAGGTTACAATATACCAGTACTGTTTTACAGTATTTTACAGTCTATTTATTTCTCCCTTACACACCACGTTCATTTCTTTTGTGCATAAGTGAGATGTTAAAGAAATGAGAAATTGTTTAAAAATATTAATTTTGAAAGTGCCTGCTGCATGCAATTGTTTATTCAATAAGAAATTAACAATTAAGCTATTTTATTAAGTTAAAACATGCAACAATTTTATTCAAGACATTCATATAATTATAATCGACCATCTAAATTGTTATTTAACAAGGAAAACTAGTTATTCTATAATTAAAGTACTTCCAAATATGCCCTAAACTGTATTTTACTATCTACATTATTAGTAGTGTTAAAACAGTTAAAAATTCATTATAAGTATCAATTAGATATAATAAAAACGAGGAGAATAGCAATAGCGAAGAGAGACAAGAAAACGAATAGCGCTAGAGAAGGATATGAATAGAGTAATGGGTTAGACAAAGAAAGAAATGGGGTAGAGAAGGATAGCACTAGAGAAACGAGTTAGACAAGGAAAGGAATGGGGATAAACAAGGATAGCACTAGAGAAATGAGTTCGACAAGGAAAGAAATAGAGGTAGACAAGGATAGCACTAAAAAAACAAGTTAGACAAGGAAAGGAATAGGGATAGACAAGGATAGGAATAGTGCCGTGTGTTAGACAAGGACAGCAACAGGGCTAGACAAGGACAGAAGAAAACAGCGGGCGAGACTAACGCCATCTAGCGTTTAGTGACACGAACTACGATTTCTTAATAGGAGCACATGATATAAACAGAGGTATTAGACAAGGAACGCACTAGTGTGCGAGAAGGACAGAGAGAGAACGTTTCCTATTGGCTGGCGAGCCGCTGAGCTCCGCTAACCGGAGCCACAGTTACGTAGTTCGGTGAAAAATCATTAATAACTCTATAATTACGTCGATTTTGTGAACTTTTAGTATTGAAGAATGAAGTGTGGACCTTCAGCAACTTTCACGTATAAATTTTAAGTCTCTAGGGCCTTTCGATAATTAGTTATTAATATTAATATCGGAAAGGACGCGACAACCCTTACGCTACGTCAAGTCGGCCAGGGAAAAATTATTAATAACTCTATAATTACGATGAATTTATGAACTTTTAGAGTTGAGGAATGAAGTGCGGACCTTCAGTAACTTTCACATAGAAATTTTAAATCTCTAGGGCCATTCGATAATTAGTTATTAATATTAATATCGGAAAGGACGCGACAATCCCTTACGCTACGTCAAGTCGACCAGGGAAAAATTATTAATAACTCTATAATTACGATGAATTTGTGAACTTTTAGTATTGAAGAATGAAGTGTGCACCTTCAGCAACTTTCTCGTATATATTTTAAATTTCTAGAGCCTTTCGATAATTAGTTATTAATATTAATATCGGAAAGACGCGACAATCCCTTACGCTACGTCAAGTCGGCCAGGGGAAAATTATTAATAACTCTATAATTACGTTGATTTTGTGTACTTTTGGTATTGAAGAATGAAATGTGGACCTTCAGCAACTTTCTCGTATTAATTTTAAATCTCTAGGGCCTTTCGATAATTCGTTATTAATATTAATATCGGAAAGGACGCGACGGTCCCTTACGGTACGTCAAGACGGCCAGGGAAAAATTATTAATAACTCTATAATTACGATGAATTTGTGAACTTTTAGTATTGAAGAATGAAGTGTGGACCGTCGGCAACTTTCACGTATATATTTCAAGTCTGTAGGGCCTTTCGATAATTAGTTATTAATATTAATATCGGAAAGGACGCGACGGTCCCTGACGGTACGTCAAGACGGCCAGGGAAAAATTATTAATAACTCTATAATTACGATGAATTTGTGAACTTTTAGTATTGAAGAATGAAGTGTGGACAGTCGGCAACTTTCACGTATATATTTTAAGTCTCTAGGGCCTTTCGATAATTAGTTATTAATATTAATATCGGAAAGGACGCGACAGTCCCTTACGCTACGTCAAGTCGCCCAGGGAAAAATTATTAATAACTCTATAATTACGATGAATTTGTGAACTTTTAGAGTTGCAGAATGAAGTGTGGACCTTCAGCAACTTTCATGTATAAGTTTTAAGGCTGTAAGTCCTTTTAATAATTAGTTATTAACAATTAGAGTATGTGATGTCGAGAACGATACGACAGCCCCTTACGGTTTTTCATTAATATCATTCTTCAGTATTAATTTACTGTATAATTATCAGATATTTCTGAAAGGGAGCGCCTGTGGTTACATTCTTCTGTAATTTTTATCAACATATCCCTTGTGATTTGATAGTTATTTAATATTTTTTGAGTGAGCGTTACACCGGTTACTTTCAAACGTGAAGCATTTTCGTTATTTCGTAAGTCATGCGTTACTACTTGTGGACTTTTAAGCATGCAGAATGTAAAATGGACTTTTTTTTATATTCCTCAATTTGTTTGGTAGCTGTAAGTGACGTTGTTTATTAGATATTAGCAATTGCTTATAACAGATGTCTAGACTCGAGTACGACGAGCACGAGACTCTTCCACATAATCTTTTATAACTCTTAAAGTATACCGAGTATATTAATCAAAATTATATGAGAATATAGATGAAGGAGTTACCTTTCAGATGCATGTAGCTAGTTTCATGGGAATTTAGTAGAAAGCTATAAAATTATTGAAAAACAGTAAATGTATGCGGTATTGTTCCAGACATTACATAATAAAATTGGTAATAACTAATTATCGAAAGGCCCTGGAGACTTAAAATTTATACGAGAAAGTTGCTGAAGGTTCCCACTTCATTCTTCAACTCTAAAAGTTCGCAAATTCATCGTAATTATAGAGTTATTAATAATTTTTCCCTGTCCGACTTGAAGTAGCGTTAGAGACTGTCGCGTCCTTTCCGATATTAATATTAATAACGAATTATCGCAAGGACCTACACACTTAAAATTTATACGAGAAAGTTGCTGAAGGTTCACACTTCATTCTTCAACTCTAAAAGTTCACAAATTCATGGTAATTATAGAGTTATTAATAATTTTTCCCTGTCCGACTTGAAGTAGCGTTAGAGACTGTCGCGTCCTTTCCGATATTAATATTAATAACTAATTATCGCAAGGACCTACACACTTAAAAATTATATGTGAAAGTTGCTGAAGGTCCGCACTTCATTCCTCAACTCTAAAAGTTCATAAATTCATCGTAATTATTGAGTTATTAATGATTCTTTCCTGGCCGATTTGTCGTAGTGTAAGGGTCTGTCGCGTCCTTTCCGATATTAGTATTAATAACTAATTATCGCAAGGACCTACACACTTAAAAATTATATGTGAAAGTTGCTGAAGGTCCGCACTTCATTCCTCAACACTAAAAGTTCATAAATTCATCGTAATTATTGAGTTATTAATAATTTTTCATTGGCCGACTTGACGTAGCGTAAGGGATTGTCGCGTCCTTTCCGATATTAATATTAATAACTAATTATCGAAAGGCCCTAGAGACTTAAAATTTATACGTGAAAGTTGCTGAAGGTCCACACTTCATTCTTCAATACTAAAAGTTCACAAAATCGACGTAATTATAGAGTTATTAATGATTTTTCACCGAACTACGTAACTGTGGCTCCGGTTAGCGGAGCTCAGCGGCTCGCCAGCCAATAGGAAACGTTCTCTCTCTGTCCTTCTCGCACACTAGTGCGTTCCTTGTCTAATACCTCTGTTTATATCATGTGCTCCTATTAAGAAATCGTAGTTCCTGTCACTAAACGCTAGATGGCGTTAGTCTCGCCCGCTATTTTCTTCTGTCCTTGTCTAGCCCTGTTGCTTTCCTTGTTTAACACACGGTACTATTCCTATCCTTGTCTATCCCTATTCCTTACCTTGTCTAACTTGTTTTTATAGTGCTATCCTTGTTTTCCCCTATTTCTTTCCTTGTCTAACTCATTTCTGTAGTGCTATTCCTTTCCTTGTCTAACTCGTTTCTGTAGTGCTATCCTTGTCTACCCCATTTCTTTCCTTGTCTAACTCATTACTCTATTCATATCCTTCTCTAGCGCTATTCGTTTTCTTGTCTCTCTTCGCTATTGCTATTCTCCTCGTTTTTATTATATCTAATCGATACTTATAATGAATTTTTAACTGTTTTAACATTACTAATAATGTAGATAGTAAAATACAGCTTAGGGCATATTTGGAAGTACTTTAACTATAGTCTTCCTTGTTAAATAACAATTTAGATAGTCGTTTATAATTATATGAATGGCTTGAATAAAATTGTTGCATGTTTTAACTTAATAAAATAGCTTAATTGTTAACTTCTTATTGAATAACCAATTGCATGCAGCAGGCACTTTCAAAATTAATATTTATAAACAATTTCTCAGTTCTTTAACATCTCACTTATGCACAAAAGAAATGAACGTGGTGTGTAAGGGAGAAATAAATAGACTGCAAAATACTGTAAAACAATAGTGGTATATTGTAACCTTCTATGAAATACATTTTATACATTTATCTTATAATATGATTTTTTACATCTGTCGACTTTACCATCTTTGATGGCAAAAATTCTTTTATTAAATTTGCATATGTTTAAAAAATACATACACATATTGGATTGCTTGGATAGTACTGTTGACGATTTTTTGACAGCAGTAGAACACGCACATGTGATGAATTATCTACTAATAAACTCCAATTCCAACCACTACTAATATTGTAATCTTATTCTAATGTTAAATCGGTAATGTTGGTACCACAGACAATGTACCTCGTTTGTATTATGTACACCTATACTTCTGCTCAAGCAGTCTTCTACCGTAGAGTAGTAGAAATACCACGCTTACATGTTTTCCACTCATTTGGACAGGCATGAGCTTTAGAACCTTCAGATTTGCTTGGCCGACTTATAGTTTACCTTCTTTCACCGTTGGTGACACTGTTAGTCAAAAACATCTTCCTACAGAACAGCAATGTACCGTTAAACCTTACCGCGGAACGATTAGTAGAAACTTAGGTTTAAAAATGTCTGGCAAATTAATTAAGAAACTACGATTTAAATTTATTATCAAATTATTAGAATGTTCCGAAGTTAAGATTTTATTTATGAAATATATCCGACTTTAGGAATTACATACAATCCAACCATCAGAGATGGTAAAATCGACAGATGTAAAAAATCCTATTTTATTACATTTGCAACCTCGTCTCTGGTGCAATGTCTATCCTGTACCTCGTCTGTGCTATTACATTAAAATTTGTATGCTCTTTATTATTAGAATGTTAGTAACCTTTGTATGTATATTACTATTTTGATACATACAGTTATACATATAATCTTAAAGAATGTTATACTAATCTGAAGCCAAACAATATTCAACGTGACTTTCCAAACTTTCCGTATTACTAAATATATTGTAACATATGGGACAGGAGAATATTGACACCTCGGGAGCTTGCAAACGTACATCACTTGAAGACGTAGCTCGACGTTCAACCTCTTCATGTAAATGTTTGTTAAACTGTATCTGTATTTGCAAATCCGTATTCAGTACACCATTCTCTCGTAATAGCGACTCTTTTAGTTTTCTCTCCTCATCAAAATCTTGTTCATAAAGTTTTAATTGTGTTTCTAACACATTGATTTTTTCTTTCTGCATTGAAAATAAAAAATTATTGACAGGTAACTACTAGGTCTTAATTTAGGACTATTCCGTTTTATTAAATAATTTATACTTACATGCTGCGCTAGTTCTGTTTCCAGTTTTTTTGTATGTAGCTCTTTATTTGCGAGACTTTCGTGTAACATACCAAGCTCGGTAACTAGATCATTATATTTGACTTCGAATTTGTTTCTTTCCGCTTCTAATGTCTCTTTGTAATGAGTTTCATACAATTGACTTTGCTGATCTAGCGATGCTTTTTCTTCTTGTAAACTTAATCTCTCTTGTTGGAGAAGATCTTTAGCATCATTTAGATGTTTGTATTCTACTTCAATGACCTTTTTTTGATTTTCAAGTGATTTCTTTTCTTCTTCAAGGGTAGCACTTAATAAAGAAAGGAAACTAACATATTTCCTTTCTTCTTCAAGTAATCTTTTATCAGTATTTTGTTCTTCTGAATCTACAATTTTACGAAGAGATTCAGAACTTATAGTTTCTTTTCTTGCATTTTCTTCTGTATTTTCATTCAATACCCCTTCTAGTTCACAAAGAACTGATTTACTAAGTCCTTCTTCAAGATTAGACATTTTATTTTCTTTTACATTATTTTGTTGATCACTTACATCAATAATCTATAATTAAAATCAGATATTAACACGCATAAAAAATAAAGCATAACATAATCCAATGTATCATACCTCATATCCCATTTCTGTGTGACTGGTTATTTCAGAACTAAGCCTCACTTTCAGTTCTGTATTCTCCTTTTTTAAATAGTTTATTAATTCCCTGGTTTCAGCAAACTTTTTCTTATGATTCTGATGTACTTTCATAATCTCTTCCTGCCAGGTTGCTAATGTGTTAAATTGATGTTTCATAGCTGTGTTATTCTGTTTCAAAGTTTCCTTCAATTTTGTATTTTCTTGTAATAGTTCATTTAGCTTGTGATGCACCTCTGTTGAATCCCATGATGCTATCATGGAATTATAGTCCTGCATATAACATCAAGCTTTTAAGTAAGAAAATTGTATAGTGGAACAATAAACTTTAATCGATTACTTAATACATACGGTAGACATACACTTTTGTTGAATGTCAACATATGATGCAACTGACAATTGTTGAATAGAATCCAATGAATCTTTACCTAGTACCACAAAGGATAATGTATCATCTGCATCAACAGCACAAAAGTTTGTTGATGCACTATTACAATACAATGGTGCATCCTCATCTAATTTAAATCTAGCCTTTCCATTATATACTGTAAAACCAAGACTTTGCAAATGACTTTCCGGATCAATACTTAGTTTTGAGTTAGTACTCAATGATTTGGCTGAGTCTTGCTCTAGTGACATAGATTTTTTTTCTTGATTAGATTCCATAGCTGCAAATAAATCTGCATCAATTCTATGGTTCTATGAATCAGTGGCCCTTTAAAATAATCAATAGTTATAGATTTATTTTGTGCATTATTAACAAATAATATTTAATTTATTATAATACTTAGATCACAATAAGATTGTATAATTTCATTGTTGTTTATTATACAACTACATGCTTAACTTTCTATACCTACATTTTCTTACAGAATTAATGATATAACAAAATATAGTAGCAATATTTTGGAACTGAAAGCTTTTATTATACGTATTTTAAACAATTACATGAACGTACGAATAAATAACATTAGAAACATTAAGAATGTTTGAATATTGGGAAAGCGACATAACTTTAATCGTTTACAATTGCAATGTAAAACAAAAATAGAAATAAACATTTTTTAAATTGCGTCATGAATCAGCAATGTAAAATTTATTAACACCCAAAATTAGGATTGAAATGCGTTTTGTACATATGATGGGAACGAATAAAACTTCGTATTAGTGCATATCGTACGATATTTTTCATCCCTACTGCCTATAGAACTTATGACTTACCAAAATTATTGCATTATAACCATCACGACGACCTTTGAAAAATGACAGTATGTTTCACTTCACTTTCAATGTTGACAGAATGATTGCACTTTATGATAATGATGGCGTAATAATACAATCATGTCTAATTATACATTGAACGAATTTTAATAGCCAACAAGAAATGTTACGATATTTCACAATTGTTACTTTTATTGATATTTATTTTTGGTAACAAATTTTTACGTCAAGATTACATTGGAATGATTATTCACCAATCATAAAAACCCTAGAGTAACTGCGTCTTCCAAGTGTTTTACAAAATGTCGGATCTTTTCCTACCAACTGTTGAAATCTTTCACTATATAGAGCTTATTTCTATTTCACTTTCCCACTAATACAAATATTCTTTACACGGTTTATCATGGGTTTATTATTACACGGCGCAATTATGGGCCATCTAATTATCAAATGCTTACGTTGAGTGTTGTTAAGCGAGGTTTCATTAATATTATTTAGTGAAAGAAAGAATGCTGAGTAACGTTCAAATATATGTACATTACGATTAAAATCGAAAAGTGCAATCAATCACCTTGTATTAACATACTTTTTTATCAGTTAATCAGATTAAATTTTATCTATTAATTACTGAACCAATCCATCATCTATCAATTACAACACTTGAAAGCGAAAGCTTTGGTCTTCTTGTGCTCGTCTCAAGAAGTACTAACATGCTCTTTCGCGTAATTCTACTTCATATTTTTTTTTTTATTTTTTACCATTGTGAACGGTGGATCGGAAAGGTATTTGGGTAAATAAAACATCACTCTTTGAAAAAGAATATGTTATTCTTTGTAATTTCCCGTTTACAATGACATATAATTTATTAAAATCAGACGAACAGATAATTTTTCTTACACATTTGTCAACATTTTTTTTTAGGAATGATTTTATTCATTTCAATGGAGCAGTATACAATGTCTCGTCCAATGAGAATTTTTCAACGCAGAAAAAATGAATAGTTTCCTTTTATTTTTTATTTCGACAAAACTTTACGTATCTTTTTTTCAAAAATCGTCAAAGATACTGAAACGAAATTTGAACCACATGTTTCTGAAAAATGATATTATCGGTTCCAAGCATTATTTTCAAACGCTACTACGTAAACGTGACTAAAAAGGACGGAAAAAGAGATACGGAAAGAATTTGTAGGAAGTATCTACATATAACGGTTCCTGAGAAAAGAGGAACCTGAACCAAAAGCTAAGTACACAATTTCTGTCCAAATCTGATCTTTTCACCGTTTCCAAACAAATCTGAAAACATTCTCGAGTACTTATCAAAGTCACTCCACAGCGTTATATACAATTGTTCGCTAAGACGAATGTTTCAAACCTTTCTCGGTAAAAATATCAATTTGTTTCGAAGAAATATGTTAACATAGGCAAGTCGATTGGTCCCCTTTCTTCAAACTTGGACCACACCGCGAACGATCAAAGTCGCCAAATTTACTCGTCCGAGTGACAACGATCTCCTTTGATATTCGAACACCCTGTATACACCGGCACAGAGTTCACAGATCGGGGAAAATGGAAAATTCCAAAGTGTGTCTTGTTCTCTACCGGAGGACCCAATTAATCCCTCGTAATTTAAGGTTTCAATTTACTTCGTT